AATACAAGACTATAGCTTTTTATCAGCGTATATATACATATATATATTTTTCATGTTGCGTAATGAACCAGTGTCATTTGTGGATTATTATGATCAGAGAATACAAAGATTCAAACAAAAAAAGTGAAATGCAGATAAAATTCTTTTATGAGGTAAATACCGCAGTGGTGCATTAAAATATCTGTCTTATTCCCAGTAATTTTGCTCTGATCTTTACTTTAAACGAAGGGATATTTTTTAAAGTTGTTTGACTAATTGTCAAACTGCATTGGGGATAACATTGGGGAGAAGAAATACTAAAAGTCATAAATTAATATTTCCATATAAAAGAATGTGGACTAGCAATTTTTCGCATTTCTTCACATAATAAACTTTAAAAGCTTTTGTGAAAAAATCAAAACCAGATGAGTTACGCCAGGGCAGTAATGTATAGGTATCAGCACAATAGAACTGACCCCAAGAAATAATCAATAATTAATCAATTAAAGCCGATAATTTCAAGTGGTTTATACCGATAGATCGGTGGATGTAGAGAATTTTTTCTGGTTACTAAGAAACCTACATGTAACTGTCAATCGCTAACAGACTAACCAAATAAAACTACCTTTGTCAGTAATCAGACAAAATGTACCTGTCAATTAATAATATAATCAAATACAGCAATCTATCGTTGCTGACTCAGCAAACCAGATTCTATACAGTGAACTTATAATTTATCTCCAAACAAAAAACACATTTACAATAAAATACCATATACACTGGAGTAGATGCAGACCATTGCAGGCAATCACGTTAGATTACGTGTACACATGCAATCATTTAGGCGTTGGTGTGATATAATCAAATTCAGTCGGTGTGTGCCGAGAGATCAGAATGCAATCACGTACTGCCCGGATTCTCAATTATCTAAGTGCATGGTAATAGACGTATAGAATTAACTCAGCGTGTGTGGGATGTCAAGTCAGTGGTTCTTCTGTACACATATTAAAACACTATAATGATAGACTCCACATACCTGTACACACATAAAAAGGAGGAATGCAATTTTAGTTGCCTGAAATATTCTCCCTGGACTATTTATATTTTTAAATTCAACAAATTTGTAGTATCATCAGGATATCTATGTTTTTTAGGACAATATCATGCCATAACTATACATATAATTAAAAAAAAAAAATGTTGATTTTATCAAAATTCACCATATTTTTGTCGTACGATGCCATTTAAACAGACTGATTGGTAACAGACATGCCACATACTATAAGTATAATCCAAAGCCGGATTTATGAGTTACACTATTCAAAATAAAATAAAATAGAATCTATTTATTTTATATGAATGTATTGAAGAAAAAAATTTAAGGTATAAAATAACATCAAATACATGTAACTGGTTCAGGTACAAGCTCATTAAATAATATTAACCAAAAGTACAATGAAAAAAAAAAATAGTACCTTCCTGAAAAACATCCCCATTCATCAAAAGGTTCGAGTATTACAGAGAGTAAAGATACTGGGAGGGACAAGGATGTACACAAAATGATAAAATGAAGTTGAAAAAAAAAAATTTTTTTAAAATTACACAACAAACAATAAATCTCTAAAAAAAACTTGAAAAGATTAAGAGCAAATAAAGCATAACTCATCCAGATTCTGACAATTCCATTAGACTGTCAAAACCTACATTAAAATATAAATAATATAACGGTTCCATTACAACTCTGTCATTCATTCATCACAGTCAATGCTTACTATGAACAAGCATTCATGAATATTTAATAAAAAGTACATGCTCGTCTAATTTTGCCTCACATTATTAAAGTAGGAAAGACAAATACCAACCTTCCACAATAATACATATAGCACTCGCCCAGATGAATCAAAATTCTGTTTTATAAGTAAGAAGCATTTCAAAATTGTATTTATACTGTTTAATTTAAGCGTCATATGATCGTATCAAATTCATTGATTTGAAATATCAACATGTAGGCAAGGTTAAACTTAATCTTGAAACCCACACTGTCATTCAATGTAATTATAACAATGTGAATTAATTTTTACAAAGATACGGGGTCACAGTGATTTAAAATATTTGGCTGGTGGACAAATGAGCACTAATTTTTGGCAGAATTGTTAAAAGTGCACATGAAATGCCCACCCATGTGTTCCCCAATTTAGATTTGTGTTCCACTAAAATGGACAGTTATTGATTTTTTTTTTTTTTGAAAATTGTTACTCGTATCCAAGTAAATTGAGATATTTCTCATGCTGTAACTACGCCCACCCATCCTGAAATGGTCGACTGTTGCCGGATTTCTGACTATCGTCAAAGTTATAGTGCGCCACCAAATGCCAAAATATGTGAGGAAGTCATACACTAGAGCCGTACTTTTATAACACTGCATCATTCTACATACATTTAACGATATACATTTTTCGGTCAACGTTTTTCCATCAATTTTTTTTTCTGAGAGAAAGTTTTTAGAAGTTGTTTACACAAAAACATTTATGATGGTTAAACGTGTTGTGGGCGGGTGCAGTATTACGTATAGCCACAGTTTAAGTAATTACATTTCCAATCGATGCAAATATGTGACATCAGTGGAAGAAAGCCATGAAAGCAACAAAAAAACATTGAAAACTTAAACCTGGTGCAATACCAACACTTTTTAAAGAACAAGATTCTGGACTAGCCCATGTTCAACTCGGCGGATTTCACAAGAGAGAGAGACGTCGAGTAAGTGTTTCAAATGATTTGACACTTTTGCCATCATGAATATCACTTTATAGAGACCATTTAGTTCGTGTTTTGTAAGAGGTTGCAATAATTTTGATAGTGATGCGAAAATCGAGATTATGCAACATTTACACACTGCTAATTGTTTTCAATGTTGCGGCTTTAAAGTTTCTGAATTGTTTGGTGAACAGTGTCAAATTCACACCTCTGTGATCTTTACTTGCAGCTTGATCTGCGTAATAATTTATGGAATAAGAACACAGGCTTGGGCTATCAGTGTGTTTTGGCCACATAATTTTTAATATGATGTCATAATTATGATGGTGACATCTAACTCAACCCTATGCAATAAACTTGATATTATGCGTTCATTATGGACCATTCTTCCTCAACTAACAAGTACATGAGTGGTAATTTAATCAAAAGCCGAGAAATGTGAAATGTGTATATACACTTATCGGCAATGCAAGATGCCCAGCAAGTTCCACTGCACATGTCATTATCAGTATTTCTGTATGCAAATGAGCAGCTCATGAGGATCCTCATTATAAAATACACAAGAATAAAGTTTCAAACCCATGTTCTCACTTTCAAAAAATATTTTATGCCTAGAAACATACAAAAAAATAATAATAATGATGTACCAATAAATGATTTTAAAAAAGAAAGTAGCAGACATTTCACAGGCACTTTAAAATATGTATTAATTCATGAATCTAAGGTGATGAAAGTGATTAATCTTCACAAACAGTAAAAAAAAAATATTAGAAAACAAATCAAAATTGTAAATGGACTGTTGTATGCAGTGAGATAAGATAGGACTTTATAAACTATGGCAAAAAAAACTATGCCAGAAATAACCTAATTTTTTTTTCACTTTTCTCCAATATTATTCAGTGAATGTTTTTCTCCATGTATGAAAACATTGTACGATAGCAATAACACAAAACTTAAAAAATATTTACAATGAAAGATGGACCAGCTACTTAGAGTTGACAAACCAAACCAGTTGCAGAATTTCCTGACAGCTTACTAGTACTAAACAAAACAAAAAATATCTTTGGCTATATATCATATAAATGCTACTGAATGACATCTCCAAATAGAGATTAACAAACTAAAAAGACGAGATAACACAGAATACAGGAATAATCATTTACTAAACTACATTTGTAACTGCAATTGATTGACATGCCTATTTGCATAAAAAATCATTATATTTTAATTATATGTTTTATTTATACTTTTTAAACTCTAAGTGAATGCAGATTTATGGATGATGTACTATCCCGGGTCAATAAATGGTAACTGTAAAAACGTACTCTTGTGTCCCTCACATGTTGTTTTTCACACTACGATACTTGTCTCATAGATACAGAATTTGACACGTGGTATCGTGGATGTGCGACTTGAAGTCGGTGTTTTCTATTCAGTGGTAAATTTCAAGTCAAATCTCAAATATTGATCGAACACGGACAATTAATCGAATATTGAACAAAAATAATGAGATTGTGATGACAGCGGATGTGAAGATAACACGATCTATATTAGCTACCACAGATGTGAAGACCGACTGCACGACTGAATGATAGTGGAGACGGGTCTCTCGTGACACCGGGGATACACGAGTGCTATCTGCGTCATATTCACGGTAGCCTATTGAACCAGAGTTATCACCGACTCGGCAGTTATAGTCAACAACTTAAAAGTTAAAGTCAAGGAATAAAATCGAATCGCGACTAAAATTGCTGAATTCTATAAATGCCCATGTGATTACATGATATCAAGTGAATTCCACTCACCTACGTTGCTCCGTGTGTCATGGACTGTGATTAGGTAAAGAAAATCCCGTATAACATGACACTATGCACGGACATGTTGTCAACTCCGTAGCAGGTGCTTTTCATTCTGTGTGATGATTGAATGCGCCAAAATGGCGTAATTAGGAGATTATAATAGTATGCAAACTTTATATCCAATCAAACTGACTGATACAACTTCAGTTTCTAATAATACACTCAGGTTTGTGAACACGTCGCCTATTGGTCACGTGCAGGCGTCGTTCAGCGTAAACTGTAAACTATTTATTTTTGACTTCGTTACCTAATACGCCATATGACTATAGAGAAATTGACCTAGTTAGGTATTTTTCGTACACACAGTTCGCAATCAGTCACACGGAAAGGCAAAATTAATAAATACAGTAAATTCTCGCGATAGTTCGATGGTGCGTGATTTCCTCATTTCCCGTCATTCATCTTGTTGCCAACGTCTGGATTTCTAAACAAGTTGTGAACGTCCTCGATCGGAAGACTTTTCTGTTTATAGCCGGCGTAACTTCTACAGAAAATGGACGATTTTCAGTCTGGAGAAGAGGTAAGAACCCATAGGATCGGCTAACAAGCAAATAACGGAACACACACTGAGAATAAGCTAACATGAGCTACAATATGCATGAACCCCGATATTTCGCTGTGTCAGTGAGTGTCCTATGTTTGGCTCGACGACGACATTTTGAATTTTAATTAAGTCGAATGAATCCTAAATCGTTGATATCCGACTTCTCCCATCAGTTATAAGTGACAATATATAATGTATTGATGTTTTTTCATACTGTCTCTTTCGCCCATTGCGGGTACGAAAATCACTGATAATGTTATTCTCTGCATTCGACCTCAGTTTTGGCAGTGTACAAAAAAACGTATCAAAACATGTAGAAGGAAACACAAGTCACACCTCGAGCTCTCTAAATTGTCATTTACATTACTCAAGAGTTGAATCAATAATTGTACAATAAATTGTGTGTAGAGATCAGGAATTAATAGGTCATATGTCAGTGGTATAGTCTAGGTTCTTATAATACAGCTTTGTGTGCGTTTCAGATGATATGAATTCCAACCAAACAAATATTATCACCTTGGCAATACTACTGATATGGTTGGCTTGAGTTAAATAGCCAAGTTGTGTATACTTCAATTAGTTTTTACTGTGATGTGTATCATACTGCTTTGCTCATGTCTCCAATCTGAATGTAAACAAATTTAACACACTGTACAAACGCGAAATTAAAAAAGTCAAATTTGGCACTACTTTCCTAAATAAAACCATAACACAGTCAAAAAGGCAAAATCTTAGTTGGCATGGAAACAAACCAAGAGACCAGATCCTTTTGGGCAACTGCAAATCACAACATAAAAATGACTGTGCAAAATATCAGATACAACATGTAAAATGTTCTCAATATTAGCATTATGCTCAGGCTGCCAAAAGAACAGTCTGGCAATGCAACTTTTCTTTTTCTTTTTTAGGTTGAGTTCCACATTTGTTAACTTTTCATTTCAATAATCAACTGATCAAACTAACATGTTGTCTATAAAATAAACCCCACATACTGTTATTTAACCTAATAACTCATTGGCTTCATCGTACATGGTCCAAACATGGAAAATGGTCTTCTCGGAGTGAATTGTTACTTTTATGACTGAAAAGCTAAATCGGGAGATTCACAGTGAAAATTCTCAAAACTTAAAAGGAAGTGCTGACAAGTCAAACTTGCCAAATGGTGTTGTCTGAAATTGATGTTAGCACTGATCTCATGTTACCTTCTACATTGATAAGCAAAGAAATTAAATTGCTGGTTGTTTTTATGTGCACTAAAATTATAAAAAAGAAAACAATAACAGAGGCTCAATGAATATATCAAGTTTTTAAATGCAGTATCCAAAAAAAACTATGATATATCCACACATATAAATACTGTCAATGTCAACAATTCCATTTGATCTTCATAGAAAAAGTTTGACAAATGCTGTCAAAAGTCAAAATAATGATATATCCACACATAAGTCAAAATAATGAAAAATATTACCCCAGTTTTGCTTATTATGTATTTGTAGATGAAAGTGGGAATCAATAAAAATGTGGTAACTCTCCTGAAAATTGACCAATTTGAACAGAAACAAAGGTTAAAATTCACAAATTTTATTTCTGGTTAGATCTGAACAACATATTACGCTGTATGTTTGGCACTAGAATAAAAATACTGGAAGCAGATAAATGCAAAAAATAGGCTTATGTCAATAACTACTGACAAGTTCTGCAGTGGTAGGAATCCTGCTTAATCTCAATTTTGTACCTAAAACTATAGTCATTGCTGGTCTGAGCATCTTCTAGGAAATTAACCCAAATAAGCTTCAGATCAGAGGACCAGTGGTGATTCCAAGCTGTTGTTCCTATTGAAACAAAGCTTGTTCTGATTTTTTCCCCCACATAACATAGTGATTTTGTATGTGTCACACAATAATTTGTAGCACTTGTTTGTCCAAAGTGTGAGTCTCCAGGGTTTTTTCTAGAAAAGAATTTTAAGAGGGAGCACACCTTTGTTACCATTAGTAACACTATATAACTGATCATAATCTACTGATAGTTCCAGGTGTATTAAGAGGGCACAAGCCCGGGGTGTGAGAGCGCTGCAGCCCTGTTCCCCTGTTTGGAAAAACTCCTGCAGTCTTGAATTAGCATTATTTTCCCACAATACTTCTGACTTGTATAATCACAGTTATAATAGTGTGAAATGGAATTTACATTTTATATGTAAAAAGTTTGCCCTTGGAAGCTCCCTACAGCCACGTACAGTCTTCATTTGTTCCCCAATACCACTTCCCTTCAGGCACGACGTTGTTGGGTTCAATAGTTGGGTTTCTGTTTGACCCAAAATTCCTGTGAAAGTCAGTCCTGTTTAGAGTCAGTGCTGAACCAGTGTGAATGTTCAAATTGTGAACAAACCTCACTGTAGTGTATACACATTTTCTTTTGC